TCTAAGGAAGAACGATGGGCGGAGACGAAGTAATAGCATTGGGGACCGAAAAGTTCAATGACACAGATTTTGCTTATTTGAGGATGCAGATAGATGATTACCTTTATGAGAAGAAACTTCATCTTCCGTTACTGGGAAAGCGACCGGAAAAGATGGACGAGGCAGAATTGAATATGTTGGATCGACAGGATCTGGGGTTTATCTAATTAACCCTGTCGAGATTGGTTGCCCTGTCGAGATCGGTTGTCCACAACGTCATCAAAGAGAGAACTACTGCAGATCTCATAACAGCTTTATCATTTGTGTATGAAAAATAATCGACAAATAACAAGGTACACATGATGAAAATATTATTCAACTTGAAGATGTCAAAATATGTCTCTGTTGCTCAACATCTGAATGATTTCAATACTATCACTAATCAATTGTCGTCGGTTGAAATTGATTTTGATGATGAGATACATGCGCTAATATTGGTGGCTTTATTGTGGTTTTATTGTCAAATAACTGGGAAGCCATGAGGATGACAACCAGCAGTTCTGCAGGTAAATCTAAGTTAAAATATGATGATATTCGTGATTTGATTCTGACTGAGGAGAAGCGTATGAAGGATTTTGGCGAGGCCTCATGTTCAAGTTTGGGGCTGAATGTTGATTCCAGAGGGAGATCGCATTACAAGAACTTAAACAGAGGAAGATCAAAATCAAAGTCTAGTTAGCAGACAATCTGTTAGAATTGTGGCAAGGCTGACCACATAAAAAGGAACTGCAGTAATCGTAAGAATAAGGAGAATGATGATGCTAATATTGTAATTGAAGAGATACAAGATGCGCTATTGCTGACAGTTCACAGTTTTGTTGATGACTGGATACTGGATTCAGGGGTTTCCTTCCATACACCGGCAGTTGATGTGAAACTATGTTGCAGGTGACTTTGGGAAGATACATTTGGCTGATGGAAAAATTCTGAGCGTGGTGGGGATGAAAGACATTGATATTACACTCCATAACAAGAGCAAATGAACTTTGCAAAAGGTCAAACACGTTCCTGAGTTGAAGAAAGTCCTCATCTCTGTTGGGCAGCTCAATGAGGGTGGTCATCCGGTAGTGTTCTCAGATACTACCTGGAAGGTTACTAAAGAAGCATTAGTACAGACTCGTAGTAAAAAAACTGACACAATATATATGACTACAAGTTTACTCAGGCGATGACACATGAGTCAGAGGTGCATTATCGGAAAGCAGAAGAATGTCAATTTCCTGAAAAGTTGCAGAGCGTCAAATGCAGAAAAAACAGACCTTGTACGGACAAATGGTGGAGAACCACTGAGCTTTGAAGAAATATTGCAATATGAGAATTCGAGCAAGTCGGAGCTGACCAAGATGGAGGAGACGGATTCTCTACCAGGAAATCAGACTTGTGAGTTGACAGAACTTCCACCAAGAAAGAAAAAATTGCACAGCAAATGGGTCTATCGAATGAAGATTGTGCTTGGTGGCAGTAAGAGGTACAAGGTTGGACTTATTGAAAAAGACTTTCAGCAGGGGCAGGATATTGCTCGTATAGTGAGAGTTGTAAGCAGATACATGAGTAACCC